CAGCATCCAGGCTGTCCACCCACAACCAGTAGAGCATCCAGGCATCAGTTGATCAGGGTCCCACTGCTAGGGGGATGGGTGGGGGTTCCCCCATCACCTTCTGCATGGTGTAGCTGGTGCCCCTGGAGTTGCTGTCATCCAGAGGGGGCCCCCACCTCAGCAGCACATTGTACTCTCAAACCTCCTTCACCTCCACTGCCTAGGAGTGGGGTGGGAATGGCCATCTGTGGGGCAGCCACACCATAGGAACCCCACGGGTCCCTATGGCCCTGAAGCCTTGCAGACAGCCCCCAAAAACAGCCCACAGCCCCCTAACAAACACCATCGACCTCCATTAGCCCCCTCAAAACAGTACCCCTAAACACACTGAGCCCTCAAACTACCTCCAAAATGCACTGCTCCCAGTTCCTCCAGTGCTTTCCATCCCAGTACAGTTCAGTGTGACCAGTACCTTCAGCTCGGTGCTCCCAGTACGTGTACACCTCAAGTCCCAGTATAGCCCTCCATGTTCCCAATGTGCTTCACACTGGGAACTGCCAGCCCAGCTCCTCCACCCCAGTGTTTCCAGTACACCCAGTCCCAGTGCTCCCTGTGCCACTGGTGACATGGGTGACATGAGTGGGAAGGCAGCTGTGCCCAAAGCTGTTTTGATGTGAACAAGATTTACAGCTCAAATCTTAAATAAATCACTGTTCCTCCAGTGAGAAACTTGAGTGATTCCATGACCCAGCAGCCATGTGCTGGGGGAGCAGAGGGTCGTGGAGCTGGGGATGGGGCTATCTCAGCCTGGGGATGTCACCCACCCCTGACCTGCAACCAAATGTCCCCTGAGTGTCTGAAGGTCCCTGACCTCCCAGGGTCCCAAACCAGTCCCCAGAAGTCCATCCCCAGGACGTCCCTACCTCCACTGGAAATCCTCATCCAGCAACAAGTACCTTGAGGGCTAAGGGTCCTCATGGGTCTGGGAAAGGTGATGTGGGTCACCTTCACGAAAGGTCTTGACTCTGTGTGGTGCAAGGAGGGTTTGTTCAGTGGTGGAAGTGTCCCAGCACAGAGGTCCATTGGCTGCCTCCTCCCTGCCCTTGCACCACTGGGCAGATTCTGTTCGTATCAGGGAACATTAAAGAACAAGTGAACTGCATGTTTCATGATGGTTTTTGTGCAGCTTTAACTCTTGTGGAGCTGATATAGCTGACCTGTGCACATTGACAGACTTGCATATGTTTATGTCCACATGCTTTCTTTATTGAGGGATGAGAGTCCCGGCGTATTTCAGCATGGATGTGTGTGTGGGTAATGTTGTCCACCATGATTTAAAGCCACACATTATTCAAAATGCAGATTCCAATCCTGTGATAGCTTCTGCACCCCCAAAACTGCTACAAGAAAATAACAACAAGGTATAAAGGGCCAAAACCTGCAGGAGCTTTTCTGAGGGGAGACTCTTCACCACTGTCCAAAGCTTCCAGAAGAGGAGGCTATGGAGAAGAGGACACATTGCCCACACAGGGTGTTTCCACACTATAGAAGGTACATAGTTGGAATACTGGGTCAGGAAAAGTATCCCTGGACTTAACACTATCTTTAGTATGTGGTTTGGTCTCATGTTGGTGAGTAAATGGCAAAACAGCACCATCAATCCCTGCTTAGTTGAATCTGATCCATATAAATAAACAATCTCCTGCTTAGTGTGTGTTTAGTTGCATACTCGCAATCCAGATTCCAATCCCAGTAGTTAGAGGGCTTTCTTGCAATCTCAGCACTCTGCTCTAACCATTTATTATATTGGAAGAAGAGTCATTCTTGCCAAAGCTACAGCTGAGTCACTAATGAAGATAATAGCAATCCTAAATTCATTTTCTAGATTTTCTTGCCATAGTTAGAGGTATGCAATACTCTACAGTGAGGAGAAGGTAGGAGGCTGAAACAAGAGTAGAGAGAGAAATTATTTATTTGTAACATGTTAAGAACACGGTTCACAGTACATCACTAACAGGGTGACTACATAACGCGGCGATCATAAAAGAGTGACTTAAAAAGCTAGTTGAAGACAAAGCATAGATTATAGGCTAGTCGTGGAAACTGGCAGGCTTTTTCCTCCCATAAGCAAAGCTGCACAAATAAAAACTGTCTCATATTATTTCTGCAAACGTAAAAGACCGATTTACTCCATCTGTACATTTTCTTTATTTTGTATAAACATACCAATACTTAAACATTTCCATATAGTTTATGATGTTTAATTTAAATACAGTATTATGTCTCATCAATTTAAGGTGCAATTTATCAAAATCTACAGTAAATATTTTCTTCTTTTCTCAATCAGTTCTCTTTGGCACACTTACGGTTTGTTTAAATGCAACACTGTAGGATTGAATCGAGGATATAATACTGCAGGAACTTCAAGGGTTTCTTTGTAAGCATATGAGTGCGATTTTAGGTTTACCACGAGCTTATTTACAAACAAAGAACTGTATATGAATTTCGGTTTACTTTATATATAAAATGGCTAACTACTTCAATGTGCAAGGCAAAAAAAAATTTGTTACAGCAACTCCTCCCTTGAGAGAGTGATTTTTGCACCATGGAAATCTCGTATAAAATGTTTTAGAAAATGGCGATTTCTTATGAGGAAGTTCTTGGTGCTTCTTATCCTATAGCAAGCCACCCAAGGATATGATTTTCTGGGTCCAGAAATGGTTCATAATATACAGTTTAGCTTACATGTTGGCACTGTAGTAGTGTTGCAGCTACAAACTTGCATGTTCAACTGGCAAACTAAACCAAGGAGCCATGAAACCAAACAGTCTGTGTAAAAGGTTTAGTGAGAGTGGCTTCTTTCTAGAAAAAAAGGTATGACTTCTAAATTCTTGATAATATATCTGGTTTTATTCCATGCAGGAAGGGTTTAGAATTTGCACTTTGCATTGGTACATAGTTGATTTTAATTTTCATGACCTCTTCCTACTTTTAGGGTGATTAATATTTGTTTAGAATCAAAGATGAACAACAGTAAACAGACTGATTTCTGTTTCTGATGGAAATGTACTAGGAGGACATCAAAGCAGACCTAAACAGGTAAAGTATCACTTTACAAAAGCTCTTCAAAGGCCAGAAGAGCATACTCACAGCAGTTTATTTCACTTCTGAAGGCCAGTCCCAGCAGTTGGCATTCACATGAAAGGCATGGGGAAACTTAGCTACATAAATACTGGAAATTCTTCTGTGCCTAATTATTTCACAATTAAAGAAAAACTAAACCCTGTTCACAGTAAAATACTTATTACAAGGCCCTTCTGGTCTGTTTTTTCCTGAATCACGCAAGTAGTATCCCCTCAGCTGCAGAAATTAGCATTTTGGCAAATGATCAAGTTACAGTAGGTGTCAAGTACAGTGCAACCTGTTTAGAAGGCAAGGATTTCATACAGGTGCTTTGTGATGTGGTAAGGTGTGAAATGCTGTGCTACTCCTGAGTAAAACACATTTGGCTGCCCCAGCTAAGATACCCATTTATGCGCATGCTGATTTTGAAGAGGCATTTCATAGCCTCAGCAATAGTGTATCTTCCTAATAAAAACCCAACTATTTCACAACAGTCTTTTTCTTTCAGCAAGGACTAAGAGTGGTGAGTTAAAATCGTTGAGAGAGAAGATGAGGAGGGGGCAGAACTGGTAAGAAGAATCAAGTCTGTGTAGTAAATCAAATGCAAGTGAGATGTAATTCATTCTCAATTATCCTTTAAGCCTTTTGAGATATTGCATATGGCCATGTCCTTTAGTGCTCCTGTCTTACCTGAAAGCCACTGGCTTTAGAACTGAGATGTCTGTGTGAAGGATATGGCGTCAGACTTATCTACAGCGAAGCCTCCATTGACGTAAGATTTCTTGGTCTCTCCTTCATCATTATCAAGTATTGTTGTTTCCAAGGCAAAAGGATTGACAATGTTGACTTCAGAGGTGATATCCATCTGCTCCAGCTCCTTTTTAGAGAGCTTCTCCACTATCCCTGTACCAAAGGCATCTCCCAAGACATTCACCATTGTTCTGAATCGATCCCTATAGAATAAAAATGTTGTCAGACAAATCATTCAGTATGTTACTGAGAAAATCCTTTTAGTAAAAGTGTTACTCTAGCAAATGCACTGCTGTTTTCTTCCCAGCGCAGATCAGAGGTAGTTCTGCAATTAAAAGTCTTGCAGAACAGGAAACAGAATTTTCCTCACATGTATTTGAAGAAGCCTGGAGTCACTTTTGAGACAAATTACTTTGTACAGGACGTGCCAACCTGCAAGTCACATCATTTGTCTGTTAGAACAGCAATCCTTATAAAATGTGAGGATCGCTTATTGAGCCCTGAAGGATGCTATACAGCTGGATCCCTTTGTAATGAGAGACTGCAGGATGCAGCTGAAGAGTCCACACTGTGCCTTTTGTTATTCTAACAGTCATGTCCTCAGCCAGAGGAGTGCCTAGCTCTGTATTTTCAGCATTCTTGCCCAAACCCTGGAAAGGGGAAAGACTACTTTTTGCTAGTTTCTCACTATTAACGGGTTGAAATACAAAGATGTATTAAATGAGTCACTTAAAGGAATATGATAGTTCTGCACTGCTGATTTTTATCCAAACAGAAATTGACCTCCAGGCCTTAGAAGTCTGCCACTGCTTTGTAGAAGAGCAACAAACCCACACAGTATAACAAAGTTTGAAAATCAGTGTGGAAGTAAGGTATGGACAGCTGAAGGCCATGCTTTGCTGTTTTCTTTTCAGCTAGACAGCACTGCAAAGGCCCTGTGGCAGAATGAGTTTCTCTGTGTAGAGATGTTGAGGTGGATATATTAACAATATTTTGCAATATATTGGAAAAACAATAGCGAAGTGGATCAGTGTGTCTCATATTCTTCTACAACTGCTGAACTCCAGTGCTAAAACAATGCCAATGTGTCTTCCATGTGGGAAGAATATATATGTTAGGGAAAGGAAGATAGAGGAGTAAAGTAAAATTGTGGTAGGGTTGGTGTGACAAGTGAAGAAATCAGCACCAGAAACTCATCTGCTATAATACTTGTATTCTATTAGTTTTTCTATTCTTCATTAAACATGTGGAAGTACTCCTCAGGCTACGTAATAAAACCTTGGTAAATTCAGAATTAACTAGTGGATTGTTAATGACCCACTTCTAGCAAATAGGATGCAAAATAATACATTTTAGTAAGTACAAAAGGCAAAAGTGTTAATAATCTACATGGTGTCACGATGTGTTTTCCATCTGCTGAGGTGCAAAATGCACTCTCAGTGATCCCTGGTACATTACATTAATGTTTAATTTGCTTTACACAGCAAGACACCTTAGTCTGAAAAATGCCTCAATTAGGACCAGAAACAGGTTGAATTATTTGTCTGCTTTATGGTGGAACATGCAGTTTCCATGTGTTTGTATTATGCCTAAGAATCACATAAACTGTGGACTTTGAAAGTAGAGACAAGATCAGATCCATAAAATCATGATTGCTATGAGAAAAAGGGAATTAGTGTCCTCTTTCTCTCTCTCTCACCCCATAAAAGAAATAGAGGGCATCTGATAAAATTATTAGGATGTAGATTAAAACAAACAAAATTAAATATGTCTCTGCAAAGCACAGTATTAGGTTGTGGAATTCATCTCCACAGACTCATGGAAACATGGGTCCCAAAACAATCAGCTATTCATGAAAGAAGACAAAAAACACCTCTGGCTCAGTAACTCTGTGAGCTGCAATTTGCAGGAGGTTGGGAGAGTCCTTTGGGAAAAGAATCCATGTATGTATGTTTGTTCTGTTCTTAGACTCTTTAGACACCTGCTCTGAGCCCGTGGTTTGTACTGATCTGTGTCATCTTTAACAAAAATAAATGCCTACCAGGAATAGAAAAGAGCTGGAGAAAACAAAATTATTGTGGAGCTCAGCAAACAAAGCTATTAGACCTGTTGCAGACAGATGATGGGGAGAATGTACTTGTATCTGGAGCTGGTTTTTGGGGCACAATTATGCTTATATATGAATTGAATTGATTCTTGGATCCATTCAACAGCCCTGATTTTATGGAGACTGGCATTTCTTGCTACTTGCAAAATCAAGTTATATAATCAAATTAATTAAATGTATTTGTGAAATACATAGGTTACTGCCAGAAATTTGCCAAGAAAATGATTGGAAAGGGTGAGGAGGAACAAGAAGGCATTTGCCTTAAGTGTAAATATGAGTCTAAGAAGAAGACATGCAAATATTATGAAATGATTAAGATCTCCGGATTGATGCCAATGAAATACTGTTCATGCTGAATTACTGCAGGTGAACAAGACCTTGGCCTGAGCACTAAGGCTCACACAGTTTGGGAGGCAAAAAACTGTATTACAAGCTAAAATTATACTCCTTGTGAATCCTGTTGCCCTGTGAATCCTGGGACAAAACTGAATGTTGATGCCCTTCTGAACTCCAGAATAAATCCTGTGATTTTTCAGGCTGTTGTAAAAGCAGCCAAGAAACACATTGGTGTAACTTAAATAGAAGAGATTTTTAGTGAAAAGGCTTCTCTCCAGCTGCTGAATAGGACTGAGGGGTTTTGAAGTGCTCTGAGATGGTTGCATCAGGCGTAAGGAATACTTTCTGAGTTTGCAAGTAAGCTTGTTGATCAAGTGGCTGGGCCCATGTTTCCAGTGAAGAATAGCCCTACCAAAGTCGTTCTGGCAACACAGACCTATCTACAGCCTGCATGTGTGTGCATGTGGAGTCCAGAGCCAGCTTTGCTTAGTTCATGTTATTCTCTTCTTCACCAGTGTATGGATTTTATGTGCCTTGTGGAAGTCAGCTGACATGTTATGCTTGTGGCTGCATTTGATTTTTATGAATGGTGTATGTATTTAGCATAATATGGTGGCAGCTGACACTCCAGAGGCACTCTTTGGTACTGTCAAATTTGTATTTCCTGAACATTATGCTCGTGATTTACTAATGCTGTGGCTGCTACTTTAAGGCTGATAGCACCTTTGAATGTGAGGTTATTCACTGCCACCCCATTCAGTAGGACTCGTCTCACAATTAAAGCCACTACTGCATTCTACTCTATATTGAACAAGACTGGCCATAAGAATAATCTTTGTCTATTTCCTGCAATGGACCTAACTGGTTTTGTTGCTTCCTTTCTCAGACTCATATATTCCCAGGCAACTTACTGTAAACATTAAAATAAAGGGAAAAAGAATGAAGTATCAAGTGCCTTAAACTTACAGAAGCCAGTCAACTGCAATGATCAGAGTAACATCTTCAGCAGGCAGGCCAACAGCACTCAGCACAATCACCATGGTCACAAGTCCGGCTTGGGGGACGCCTGCAGCCCCGATGCTGTCTGCTGTAGCTGTGACACTAGACCCCAAATAAAGTGGAGAAAAGGCATTCAGAATACACGTTGATCACAGCAACTCTATTTTCTGGTACAAAAAAGCTTATTTCACTGCAAGAAAGAAGCCCAAATGTTCCAGTTGAATAGTATCTACTCAAAGTCTGGTGGCAAGCTTATGGCACAAGTCATGTACAGATACTGTTATGGTTATACTGCAGAATTGACAGGCAACACATGTCTGACAATCAAACTGGACAGATCAGGTGTAGAGGCTGAGCAGGGTTTGCGAGTCTTTGCAGTGAAGAACACTGGCAATTTCCAGAACAATGCTGTATATCAGCTGACATCCTGGCCCATCCCACCTCCTCATTAGGTTGCACTGGCAAGGCCTCAGACCAAGAAGTGAGAAAGTTTTTTCCTGTGTGAATAATAGTTTCAATTTTCCCATGGGATACATTAATCGAAAAACCCCACAAAATGCATGTGATGGCTTTAGTCTTACCTAATGGTAACTATTTGGCCAATATCCAGTTGTAAGTCATTCAGTTGTGCAATAAACACGGCTGCCACTGCTTCATAAAGGGCTGTACCATCCATGTTGATGGTAGCTCCAACTGGAAGAACGAACCTGGTGATTCTTTTATCAATGAAGTTTTTTTCTTCTGCACAGCGGAAGGTGACAGGCAAAGTTGCTGAACTGGCACACAGAGAAACACACAAAGTAAGTGCAGGCAACAATACACCACTTCCCTTATTCTTCCTTTTTCCCATAGCCTGATCTGCCCTAAGACTCAATTGGAGTTCTAAGGCAGGAAGGAAGGCTGAACCATGAGAAAGCAAAGCAACTTTTGTTATAACTTTTGTTTTGTTATATTGTCTAATTATTGGAAGAAATAACCAAGTCCTACTTATCCTCAAAATTATACAGCAATATTGCCATGGCATATGTAGCCACAGAAATTGTGCACCAGCTTAAATGTGATTAATGGCAAAGAACAGTCTCCTCTGGGGAGAGGCAGACGCTTGTTTGGTGTAAGACCAGCACAATCTACAGTGCCACTTTAGGTACCACAGAAATAATGGTGAAAGCAATATTTCAACCCTCCAGTGGACTGAGAATTGTCCAGTTGAAACCAGGGTATGTGACAAAGTAGCAAGAAAATCAGAGCACAAACAATGCAATTACTACTAGGAACATTACAAAAAATATGTTTCTTTTGTTTACCTGGAAGAAATCATGAGGGCTGTCAGAAGTGCTTGAGCCATCCCCATGGCAAAACGATAAGGATTCTTCCTTACTATTATTAAGTAGATCAGTGGTAGAATTATAGTGGAATGGATTGCAAGTCTGCAAAATAAAATGGGCTAGTTAAACAAGTGGATCCACCTCATTGCCTTGCTTTACTAAGATGGTGACAGGTATCTAGTTCTGTCCTCAAGTACACTTATGAAACATTACAGTTGACTTCAGTGACACCCATGTGCAAAATTTGAAAGAATGCCATGTTAATAAAAAGCAGACTGGCCTTTCTACACATCCTTTTGGATGGGAGAGAGAGCTCATATACAAATTGTCTCTCTTTCTTAAGCAAAACAAGAATTCACTAATTCATTTGAAGTAATTTAAACTGATGAAAATGAGAAGCTTTAAGTAATACATAGTATTTAAACTGATATGTGGAGGGTGCTTTGAAATAACACTAAAATGCTCCACTCCTGCAAAATCCTTACAGTGCAAATCACAGACAAATTAGAAAACCAAACCAAATTGTTATTCTAAGTTTCTCTGCCTTTATTATAGAATATATTTTGGAATTAAAGGTAAATGTGGTTTCCAGTCAGGGACAGCTGAAATCTACATCTTTCTGTAGAAACTTCAAACATGATGCTATAGCAAAATCTACATGTACTTTGAGGACTGGCTGTGCAAGCTCAGGTCTACAGTTAAAATGCAGTGAGGTATTTCAGATGGTAGAAATGAGATAAATGTAGTCTCAGCATCTTCAACAATGCAAGATGATGAAGTATTATCTTTTGAAACTATTAATTTTTAAAACTAAATGTCCTGACTCGCAGAAGATCAACTTGTCCTTTTGACACTAGCTGCTCAGGTGTATTTGTCTGGCTATTTGGGTAGGTCTCAGGGACAAATTCATCCTTTAACCTGTGCATTAATTTTGAACGCTGTGCAGTATAATGCACATGAATGCAGAGCTCGTGGGCATTACGATTAGAGGTAAACAGACTGGTCTAAGTACATTCAAAATGAAATATATGTGAAATATTCCCTATGTTTGAAGGTTGCAAGCAATTATAGCTTCTTGTGAAATGAAATTATCATAGCGTGGAAACACAAATCCCAGAACTGTTGTCATGTATGACCTTGGGATTTTTATTCTGTCCTCACAATATGTTCATGTGAACATTACTGTGTTGTAATAGCACTTTATGACTTTAGAACAGCTGAGAAAGAGAGTGATAAATCATGGTACCATTTGTTCTGCCAAAAATAGGCAATTAAGAGAGCAGTAGTCACAGTACAGAAATCTGCAACAGCACTAAAAGTCATCCACAAAACCCATGTATTTGTTTCCTTGGAAAAATTATCTTTTTAAAAGCAAGGGGCATTAAAGTTTTCATTCTGTATGTGAACATACAATCTATTTAGTGGAATGTAAACAACAGTATGCAACATGTATTAATAGAATTTTGTAAACAACTCTAGAAATAAACCTAACAATGTATACAATGGTTTGAGACCAAACTGAATTCTGCAGAATATACAGAAAAAATATAAAGTGGTATGGGTGCCATTTGGTGCCTCAGTAAAATGTTGATGACAGTAAACATTTCAAGTATGGTTACGTCTAAAACCATACTGACATAGTTATTTTGAAAAATTTAGACCTGCACTTTTTTAGTGGCAGCATGAACATGGCATTATTCAAAATAAAGTACTTGTGCATATCTGCTTTGTACTACTGATTTTCCTGAAAAAAATAATTGAGGTAGTATTTATTTTCATGTACGAAATGCAACTTGCAGCAAGTAGCAGGGATTGTTATATCATAATCAGTAACTGAAAAGATAAATTCTAATAGCATTCAGTTTCAAGATAGGAAGAATCTTGTTCCTCAGAATCCGAGACTGCCATTCCTTACAGGGTCCAGGGATGCAGCTGCCTTGCTGCTTTCAGAAGAGACAAAGGCACAAGCAAGAAGAGTCTGTTTGCTGCAGCTTCCTAAGCTTTCCGTATGTTTAAGATAACCTGAATTCTCAGGATCAAGCTTAAAGTACAATGATAAACAGCTACAGAAGATTCTGATGAACGGAAGACACAGCAAACAGACAAGGTCAAGCAAGTAAAAATGAAAACCAGAAAGATGGTGCGACCAGCAGTGTTTAAGAAATCAAAGAAAAGAGCACAATTTATTGTGATTGCCGAGATGTGGAAAAAGGGTATTCTTGCAGGCTGGAAAATGTAGAACAAGCACCTTTTCCCTGCAGCCTACAGCCTTGTGTGGATGTTATAATATTTGCTCCTGTGAACTGATTACAACATGCTCTCCCTCATGGCCAGTTTCACAGAGAATGTGCTGCTGTTAGCCCCTCTCCACACCTTGAGCAGCACCCACTGTAGGCCATTCTGCAGAAGACAGAAATGCTGCAGAGAACTACCCAAGCACACATCAGAGAAAATGGTAACATGTGCAAGGCAGTTGCAGTTAGGTGGAACAGAGACTTTTCCTCTCCAAGGATGTAAAGTTGACCCACGATGAGGAAAAGGCTGAGGTACTTAACACCTTCTTTGCCTCAGTTTTTAATAGTAGGACAGACTGTCCTCAGGACAACTGGCCTCTAGAGCTGATAGACCAAGATAGAAAGCCAAATAACCTCCCCGAAATCCCAGAGGAAATGGTTAGTGAT